TTTTTTTTAGTTTTATTTAGTAACTTTCAGGAGGGTGTACTCATTTTTGCAACACAACATTTTATCACTTTGATAAGAAAATGGTATTTTCTTGAATAATTTTAACATTCTTCTTTGGTAACTGATCAAGCAGACTTGCTGGAATATTATATCTCTAAAAAAACATAACATGTCATCTAAGAAAAGAGTAATTGCTGAATTTGTTAAGTTTCAGAGGGGGTGTACTCATTTATGCTGTGCACTGTAACTCGGGGGAGAAGAATTGTTGAATAAATTGTTATTTTTGTTTTCTTTGCACTCAAAACGTATTCTTGTAGCTTTGCAAAACTGAAGTTGAGCCACAGATGCCACATGGACTGTTTTACCGATGTCCTTACTACGTTTCTGGACCTGGGAACATTACAGTTGCGTTGCTGTCTATGCAGGGTCTGAGAGCTCTCACAAATATCTTAATTTATGTTCCGAAGATGAACAAAGGTCTTAGGGGTTTGGAACGACATGAGGGTGAGTAATTAATGACAGAATTTTCATTTTTGGGTGAACCAAAAATCTTTAAACCGCAAGCTCACTCTCATTTAGAAGTTACAAAGGAGAGATGCAACAGCTTTATCACTTTTTTCAGGAAAAAGTAGACACCATTCGCCTTCTGTCCAGTTCCTCTGCTCTGCCTGTCTTGACTGCCGATTTACAGCCTGGGACTCCCCAACCTCTCTGCTGTTTCTCTGACATCTCACAGCAAGAGGTTGACGACATAATCAGAAAGATGAAACCATCCACTTGCGCCCTGGACCCTTTTCCTACAGCCTTGGTGAAATCTAACCTTTGTGCCATAAGTCCCCTGATTACTAAGGTTATCAACCACTCCCTCCAGGCTGGTCATGTTCCACCTGAACTGAAAACTGCTGTCATCCGACCACACCTCAAAAAAACAACTTTAGATCCAGAAGTCCTTGCCAACTACAGGCCCATGTCTAACCTTCCATTTCTTACTAAAGTGTTGGAAAAAGTAGTTGCTGCACAACTTCAGACCCATTTAAAACAAAACAATCTGTTTGAGAAATTCCAGTCTGGTTTCCGCTCTGGCCACAGCACCGAAACAGCAATGGTGAGGGTCACAAATGACCTGCTGATGGCAGCAGACACTGGTTCTCCATCTCTTCTCATTCTTCTGGATTTGACTGCAGCATTCGACACTGTGGATCACAACATACTTCTGTATCATTTACGTCACACCATCAGTCTCTCTGACTCTGTCTATAACTGGTTTTAATCCTACCTTACTGGGAGAATGGAGTATGTTGCATTGGGAGAGGCTAAATCCTTGACACACAATGTCACCTGTGGTGTCCCTCAAGGCTCAGTGCTCGGCCCCACTCTGTTTATACTGTATATGCTCCCTCTCGGTCATGTCATCAGCCGGCATGGAATATCATTTCATTGCTATGCTGACGACACTCAACTTTACCTTAAGACCAACTCATCCACTTCTGCTGCCCTGTCATCTTCCACCTTGACTACCTGTCTGGAGGAGGTAAAGGCGTGGATGAGCCAAAATTTTCTGCAGTTGAACAGCTCAAAGACTGAAGCCATTCTAGTAGGCACCCCACACCAGGTCCAGACATCTATCATTTCCAGCATTACCTTTTCTGGCCAAAACATTCCACTCTCAACACCAGTTATCAATTTGGGTGTTAGAATGGACTCTCATCTCATCTTTGAGGCTCATGTTAAACATCTGTGCAAGACTTCCTTTTTCCATTTTAGGAATATCGCTAGACTTCGTCCTATGCTCACTCTTGCAGATGTGGAAAAGCTTGTCCATGCCTTTGTCTCCTCCAGGCTGGACTACTGTAATGTGCTCCCCATCGGGATCCCTGGCAAAAGCCTACAGAAATTGCAGTACATTCAGAACAGTGCTGCTAGGATCCCGATGAGGGTACGCAAATACAATCACATCACCCCCATTCTCAAATCACTACACTGGCTTCCTGTTTCATTCAGGATTGTTTATAAGGTCTCCCTCCTTACCCATTAGTGCATCCATGGCAACGCTCCATCATATCTCAAGGAACTCCTTACTCCACAAACTTCTAAACGTACACTCCATTCTGCATCAACGTCTATTAAAACCCCCCAGGACTAAGCTGTAGCGAATCAGCTCAAAGGGGAAATATGAATAATTAATCATAACTAGTTATAATTAATTATAAATATTTAGATCCGCTGTAAGTATTTACTTGACCTCTCAGGGTCAACTGTCTGTCAATTCTAAGAACGTTAATTTCCTGGTTAAGGGAAATAACTTTCTTACTGTACAATACTACTCATGTACTAGCATGTAGCAGAAATCTGCATGATTAGGGACTACGATTATGAGCAAACAATGAACAACCTCAGGTGTGATATAAGTAAGAATTTATTAACTACATAAACACTTAAACTAGTCTAACATACACCTACACATACACACACACACACACACACACACACACACACACA